ATTGTCAGGAAACAGATCAAATTTTCTTGACTACGACGAAATTATATTATGGTATTACACCTGTACCAAAAAAGTATCACCTTATATGTTTTCGAAGACAAAAGATGCTATAAGAGAATACAAACAATCTTCAAAAATAAAGTATATTCTGTTGACACGCTCTCCCGCAAAACTTATTTTTGGGATACCATAGTCCCAAGTGGGTCAGAAAATAGCCACAATGTAGTACAATTAAACCCTGACAAACATAAATACTATCTTCTTACACCATACCCTACACTCATGCAACCACTCAAAAAAATTTCAGAAGAAAGCATTAGAGCTTTTGCCCGCAATCCCAATATTTATTTACAATCAATCGGCATATACTTTAAATCAGATGTTCAACATTACATTCGAACACAACAATTTCAAGAATTACCCACAAAAATGGACACAATCCAATGACAATCCATAGATCAAAACCTACGCAAACTTGCAGAAGCAGCAGGCTTTTCAGACATATACGCACAAGACTATAGCGGATATTCTAAAGATATAAAAGACTACATTTACTTGAATGGCAAAAAATACAGACCACAAGATAAAGATATATCACCAAAAATTATTTTTAGTTTTGTAAATTTGAAAAACGAACATCTTGCCTTTCTAGGATGGCCCTACTACATCTTAGAAAGATTGACTATTTTATGCGCAATGTTTAATTTTCTTGGATTTTTTTTACTCTTTCTTAAAAGGAATTTACAATACATGCGCAATATACACACAAGTAAATACACAAGCAAGCGTAGCACGCATACTTTTTGCAGGGTTTTTGAAATATTTTCAACATCAATCAATAAAATTCTTTTAGACGCTCAAATAAAAGAATACAATACCAAGTTATACAAAACCAACAACACCAAACACGTATGACGAATCACGAAACGATACAAATACAACGCCCAAAGCACCACAGTTACAAAACCTTAAACATAACCATCCCTTATCATTGGTACCACGAATTTTTAGAAATTTTTCCCTTTCAGACCTCATAACTTCGAGATCTAATTATCCACAAAACCCAATCCAACACATATTAACCCAACAATCCAACATAGACGACACATACGAACGAATTATAGAACATCCACACACCACTAATTTTCATTCTCAGAAAAACCATATTTTTAGCCCACGATGAGCCGTCAAAATGGATCCCTCCATCGATCAATTTCCCACCGAGCCAACCTTCAGAACAACTTCCACATCATCCTTCTTTTAGCTTTACCCCCACCTCAATCACCTCATCCCAACATTTCACCCAGCATAGAATTAGATACAATTCCGACACAACTGTATAAAACATTATCTCCCAATTCAACAACTCCGATATAGAATCATCCGACGAATTTGCAAACTCTGAACCCAGTCGATCTACATTTTCCAACATCCCTTTCAACCTCTCCATTCGCAAGTCAAAACTGAACCTCTTTCCCCTCTCCCTTCCATTTCACACGTCACACCCATAAATTCCCCTCTAACCAGCGAATCATCCGATAACAACGACCAAGATCACACACAAATATCACATGAACTTGTTAACTTCATAACACTACAACAACAACTGCAACACCCTCAAAAACTAACTATTCACCAACTCTCACGATCTTTAATATCATCCAACCCATCAACCCCAACCCCCTTTTCCACTTATACACCCTCCCAAAACCCAACCTCCCCATCAACCCCAGCCTCTAGTACCAACCGCGCTTACCGAACCTTTAAAAGAAAATTCCCAAATACCCCATTCCCATCTAACCCAGGAACATCCACCACATTTATAAATCATCCACTTCACACTAATACGACAGAGCTGCTACAAATATGTCTACTCTTTTTCCCACAATATACATACTTCCATTCAGACCCCAATGATGAAAAAACCAAATTATGTAAACGAACATGTCTTATATCCCACTCTCTCATGGACATCTCATTACCACTTTACTAATCCATTAACATTACCACTATATAACACCCCTCATAACAATGAAGTATGCAGCACCCTACTCTACCTTCTAACAACAGCACTAACCCCAAACCAGTTCACGCAAATAGGATGCAGGGAATCATTAACCAAATTCACTGCACCTAAAGCTAATGATTACTCCATCGATTATTACGATCATAATATCATCCGACCCAATGAAGACATTTGTCTAAAAAACGACCCATATACTATTCACCGATTAACCAAAAAAATTTTCTTTAAAACTTCATACACCTTCACCCTCAACATCCTAAGTAAAAAAGAAGACGAGGTCATCTCTCCAGCACTACGTAATATTAATGCTTATGAATCATACTTTAACAAATTCAACCTTTTTCTTTAGCCTTTCTTTTCCTCACACCCAAAGAACCTGATTTGCACTGTTCACACGAAGTCATGTTACGAACTAAACAAACAGATACGTACCATTATTATAAATTTATTCAAAGTCATTACACTGACAATACCCCAGCACGACAACCTCACCATAGATTTCAATACATTAACTCAAAATACACATCACCGTTTTTTCTTAACTTAACCTATTGTATTAAAGACACTAACCTACAAGGCACCCTCCTAAATTATGACCCCATCACCCAGATGTATATCTTCTGCCCACTAAGCAAACTCTCAAACGTAGACGTATCCCACTCACTAATTATCCCTCATGGATTTCTTCAGCCCGTCGAAGTCCCCATCCTAGAATTCATATATAACACTCGCAACAATCAAAAACTATACAACCTAATTCAAAACACACCGTATGAACAATCACCTCACACTGATGAACGTAACATCATTAAAGCACTTGAATTGCTTTGGCCACTTTTGCAAACTAAACACATCATCCGTTTGTTAGCTAAACTACCAACCTCATCTGATATCATCTACGATGTTTTTCCCCATGGCTTCTTCACCGACGATTGGGTAATTTGATTTCAATATTTAACTAATAAATTCAAACAACACTAACCATCATTACTGAATGGTTTCTTTTTTCTTTATAGGCACAATCATCAATTATCTACAAAACAAAAAGCAAAATAAAAAACAGAAACTCTCTTTCAAATCATTAATTTCTATTAACCTATCCAATAATTGAACCAATAGAATTATCCCGTACAAAGCAGTAAATTAATATATAAATTTTTTTCCCCAAAGCAGTAAATATTCATAAATTGAAAATAACTAAATAGTTTCAACCCCCCAAATCAAGCAGTAAAATTTATAATTTTAAGAGAAATAAATTAATAAAATTGTTCATAAATTGCAAAAAGCAGTACTAACTTTTCCAAAAGACGCTTCTTTATATTCTCTCGCCCACATATTTTATCCAAGTTCGCATTGCTCGCCCACAAAGAATTGTTTAAAATAATGAATTTGAGTTTCAGCTTCCAGTAATAGCAACTCTTACAAATTTAACACGTTTCAAATTTTCCTTCAACCCGGTTGGAAATGAATTATATAATAATCCAAACTAACCAACGCAAGCTTACTAAAAACCAAAAACCACAACCTAACAGCATGACTAAGAAAAGAAAACCCACGGTACCCAAACTGGATTAGCACCAGCTTAGAACTGGATAAAATATTTTTTTAAAGACTACTTTTAAGTCCGAACACAAAAGAACAAAACACCAAAAAGTCGAAAACAAACCCAAAACAAACAATTTGATTTTTGAGGAAAAGACAAAACTAAGACAACAAAAGAAAACACTCGTAATAAAAAATGGCTTGAAAAGTTGAACTAACACAGGACCTTCTAAAAAGAGAGCACGAAATTATACCCTCACTTCTGGCCTTACCCACCAGAAGAGGACGTCCTGAGCAGCATGCTCTATAGCCGGCCTCACCCACCGTGCTACATCCACGCTTTGTGACACCCACGACACTATTTTTGACGAGAGTTACTCAAGTGTGAGTAGCTCTTAAAAATAACCGAGCTAAAAATAACGCTTTTGCGATAAAAATTAATACAAAGATCATAACTAAAAAACAAGATTAACAAAGATTTGTATATGTAAATGATATAATGCAGTATATAGATTACAAACAGCCCAAAGACGAGCAGCAAGGAACTTGACAACCCAATCACACTCCAACTACGGAATGGCAAACCCACCTGACATGCTGCCTACAGTCACTACATTCAATGGATTTAGAGTACGACTTGGCATCGCAGAAAAAAAATCCATTGCAAAAGAACAATGGCCATCTCGATGTTCAAGTATACGTACAGATCCAAGTCACCAGGCATTGCATCCAAAGTCGAACTAACTGCCGTTCCCAGACGAGATTGAGAATAACAACGTTCCTATTAAGCAAATCAGCACTCATCACAATCAATCAGAAATCATGATACAATCTCCCGAAACGAATGACAACTAATATACCTGATTCCAGCTTCCTGGAGCTTCCTTCTCCAAGAACGGAACAGAAATGATGCTCACGTGTACAAACGAACTTCATCCATCATCCATCGCAGATGAATGACAAAGAACAAAAACTAAAACTCTCTAAACCCCGGATGGGTGGAACCAGATCTAAACTAGTATTTCTCATTGGTTAATATTATGATATTTTATCTCTATAAAATATTAAATACTAACCAATCATACTCCATCAAACTAACAACCTATTTGTTTGTAAAGTGTTGAAACTACTTGTAGTTTCAACACCAGAACAATTTGAATTAAACTTAGAATACAGTTGTTCTCATTTTGGAACTAACTCGCGCAAACCGGTGTACACTAGATCTATTGAGACTAGGAGATATAAGAGTAAGATTAAAATTGGTATTAGACTGAGAAGTTGCACGAATCTATCCGGCTGAAAATAAGATAGCGTGACGAGCAGACGGTGTACCTTATCTGAAATTACTCTATGAGTACAGTAATCTATACATAACTCAATAATTGTTTCTTTAATTCTATTGTTTTTTAACTTGACGTTATTTTGCTTACAGAAAATGTCCGTTTCCTTCATGTGGCAAAAAGATACCGGAAACAGTGAAAGATGTGGTTGGATTCTTGCCAGCGGCATGGCTGAACCAGCAGGGTCTTCCTGGCACCGAAGCGGAGTCTTGGGAAAATGAAAAGTGAGAAACACTGATCGATTTTTTGCTTTACTTCTCTCATTCAAAAACGAACATTATTTCAATATATTTAGAATTGTCATCTGAGTTAGGTCCGAGGTATTTTTTGACAAAAACAAACACCAACTATTTTTGGCCGGGTAGACTTTTTAGCTTACAATTATATAGAGTATAATTTTGGAAACTAAGGTTTCTACAAAAAAATGCAGGAGCAAACAGCCAAGAAAGAGTTCGCACCAATTCGGTTGCATCAAACTGCGGTTCACATAGTTACTGAAGAATTTTTTTAAAACATCAATAAGAATGAAATCTCAACATCTTTCATAACATGTTCCTGGTTCTTTTGCTGTAGTACTAAAAATACTTCTAGTCGTCTTGTTACGCAACAAGCTGTATATGGAAGATATTCGAAGCTATTAAGTGTAATCGTTTGGTTCATTTATCAGTAACAGGGTAAAAAATATTCCATAGTGAGTCCTTGCGTGAGATAGATATACGCAAAATATTGAAAAAAACCCCTTCGGTTCTTTTTTTTTTATTAACCAGCCAGAGGCCTATCCCGAAACTTAATTGCTTAAAATTAGCTAAGCTATTGCCATTATTTGAGGGCCATTATTTCTAGCGTGCTGGGCGAGGTCGACTACTAGGATGATCCTGCTTTTTCTGATATCAATGATAGACTTTTGATGATATTATCATAAATTAAAAAATCACCCTCTGTGTTTGGTTCTAGCAAAATTTAAGACTGTCCTGTTACTTTTTATTTGAAAACATGAGCTGATATGGCAGGAATGGTTGCTGCTAATCGCAGTTTCATGCCTTTCCCAGTGGAATATTAGAAAGTTTTGAAGATATTCAAGAGTGTACAGTTATGTGAAATATATTTTATTGTTCCGACTGCTTTCGAAGAAAATGACGGAAAATTTGTGCTCGGGGTGTTTTTTCTCCAGAAAAATTTCGAATTATTCAGTCACTATTTTTACTCAAACTGTTATATACCTTAAAAATATTGTTGGCCTGAGCTCAAATTTTAAAAAATATATATTTTTATCTGCGATCAGTTTCCGTAAAAGTATCGGGACTTAAAGATTGCCAGTCTGACCAAAATGGGAAAATTAACGCGCGGAAAATTTCGTGCTAATAACTAGTACGCGCAGTGTTTTGATCCGTCTTAGAAATTGTTCCAAGTAAATAGAGACATATTTTTAATCCCTCGACTTTCGAAGAAAACGGAATATTTATGCTTGGGTTGTCTTTTCTTATTCAATCAATTTTTGGCGATCAAAATAATATTTTTCAACAAATTTTTCTATACCCCATTGACGATATTGACTCTTTGACGTGAATTGTAAAAAGATTTCTCACCTCCAATTTTGCAAAGTAAATCGACTAAGTTATATGCGCTTTGAAGAGTTTATTCATAATGCCGAAAGCGCAACACGAACAAAATTATCCATCGGAAACTTTTCGGTCCAGAAAAATGGAGGCTAGCTAAACGGTCGTATTAATTTCCTATGACTCTATTTTTTACAATAGATCTTTTATATTGTTCAAAATTTCGATATGGATTAAGGGTCAATAGTAACATTCAAACCTTGCCCTGCAAAGCAGCTGTCTTGTTTGGTCTAATAGGTACTTTGCTATATGCGAAATATTTCCCCTTGTATTTATCATGGCATGTGGGGGATGATTTTCAAAAGATTTGATTTTTCTTTTTATTTGAAAATTTCATCCATTTTTATAAAAAGAACTTACTCCACACGCCTTAAAGTGCAATCAGAACTATCGGGGCTTCACTCTGATACGAGCAATCTTTTTTCGACTTGTAAGCCTTCTACAACCCGCGGGTTTCTAAATGTACAAAAGTACTACTTTGAGTAAAAAGTTGAGATTTCTAAGTTATTCATGCTAAAAATTATTTGCTTACTCTTTCATATTTCATCTCTCTCTCAAGTTAGTTCTTTTCTGGGATGGAGAAAAAGAGAACTATTAGAGTTTTTGACGGAAAATGATTATTTGTTGAACGGTAGTGAAACATGTCGAAAATTAGAGAAAGAGTTAACAATTTTAGATTTTGTTGCAAAATTGTGATGAAAGTAAAAACAGCGGTCTTTGTAAGTAGTCTAAAATTGTTTGAAAAGAAATATTGAGCTCTTGAATTTTATCATTTATGGGTATAAGCTACATTGTAATTTTTTCTGGAATTGGGGCAACAAGGGTAAGCATAAAATTATGCAGGACAATATGGCAATAATTCAATGATTCGAGAGGATTGGTTTTCACTGCTTGAAGGTGAATTGTGAAATGATCCCTTGAGCTGTGAGATTTGAGTGGCGGCAAAATTCAAAAGTGAAATGGTACGGAGTTTTTGAACTCATCTATGGAAAGCGAGACTGGCTTGCTCCTAATAATAAGCAGGCAACCTGGATGAAATGATGATAGTAGTGCAACAAAAAATTTCATATTGTGGACCAAGGAATGTTGAACTGATACATAATAATTGTTGCATTTTTCCGCCTCAATTTATTTTAGATTTGGTTTGATTTTCAGTTTTCATTGATGCGAAGATTTTTTGAATGCTATAGGGTCCTGTGAATTTTCTATGAGCATCTAAATGTAATGGTCTCAAAATGCAATTTGGTGGTTGCTAGCTTCGAAAGGTGAAAATTCTTTAAAAGGTTAAGAAATGGGTCCTTGGAACTAAGTGTTTCTTCAGTTAGTGCTAAGGAATCAAACATAGAAGCAATCAATTGTTTTTGCAGCTGAATTGATCTGTTTGCGAATGCTGACGAATATTTGTAAACATTTTTTTGTCTGTCATTGCATTGAGTAAAAAAATTGTATCAAAGTTTTGTTCCAGATTTGTATCTGTGTTGAGCATCAAAAAGAGTATAGGTGATCTAAGCTTTCTGCATCGGTTATTGAGTCGAAATTTTGATTAGGGTCATGCTAAAAGTTTCCTAAATGTTGAGTTGCGGTGGAAGAACATAGGCATTGAAAAAAGCTCGGATTTGTGAAGTCAGTTCAGTGATTTTTGATGATTGACTTTATCGTCGTTTATCGTCTTTTATGAGATTATTAGCTATGAGTGCCGAAGAAGAGATACGTCGGTTTCTGCAATTTCTAAGCAATGGGCCGGGTGCGACTATAATTCTGAATCAAATTAGTGAAAAAGATTTTACGATATCAAAAAATGATCCTTGTTTATTTGAGAGTGGTTGTCATCGAAGTGCATTTTAATTTTAAACTTTTTTAAAAAGCTTGCGTACCGGGTATAAATTGGGGTCGATCAGACAGGTAAAGAAAATATTTTCAAGAACAATGATGTGGCTTGGACATACAGCCTACCAGTAAATAGTTGTTCACACTTTGTGTTAAAATAGAGAATGCTTTTCCCATGCTTTTTTGATAGGAAAAACCAAGTTTAACCAAGTCTTAGATTTTTGACGCATAAATTGCCAATGCAATAAAATAGTAAAAAAATTTCAATGTATTCAGTCGGGCAAAACTTGATATATTACGATAGCTTAGATTTATATTTTTTAACATGTTAGATTAATGATAAGAAGACAAGCTTTTGGAGCTTTTATAAAAAAAAACAAGTTTTTGTCCACGTTTCTCTGCGCACGTTTTTTATTCGAAATTAATTGATGTTCTTGCTTCATTTTTTTCTCCAAAGTTAACATGCATAAGTCGATGAAAGTAAGTTAGACTCTTACGCAGGTCGTGATGATTTTTGTTCTTTTTTCAGGAAGCTGTTCATGCTGAAAATTACTTTTTCGCGGTTTGACTTTTAAAATCTTTATAAGTTCAGTTCATTTCCTTTGTTAATTTAACACACTCAATAAATAACAAAAAAAATTTTCTAATATCTTAGCTTTTTTTAGGTATACTTATTTTTTTCATTGCTGAAAATATTTTAAAAAGCGAGAAACTTAGAAATTGCTAGACACTTTTTGAAAAAAAAATGTAAAACTGTTCTTGCAAAGTTGCCATGATTAACACAAACTACACAATACTCTGTAAATGATTTTTCAATTTATCGCTTTTGTGGAGTTTCTAATCTCTTGATAGTTTGCATGAAGACTTTCATCTTATACTTCATCCTGGTTTTTCGCATGAGTTATTCTTGGATCCAAAATAAGAGGTTTTTGAAACTAAAGGAACTTCATTCAAAACATTTCACGCTTTCCCTTTTTTCGTCATTTTCTCATCTTATTTGTCAAAATGAAATAGCGATGGGCCTATCAAAATATAATTTTGCTAAATAGTTCAAATAAAATGATATCATTTTTATATCATAATTGAATTTATTAATCTGAAGGTGAAACAATTGAAAAAACTAGCATAAAAACTTCCGTATTTTTCTTAAATCTTTTCTTTATATTTTAGAAAGCGTTTACTAACAGAAAAAATCAATAATTCTATCCATAATTCTTTTGCAGAAGAGTGTAGAACTTAACCTCATGTTATGTGGGTGACTCAGCTCTGAATAGAAACTGCTCAGTAAACATTTGGTTGCATTGTAAATTGCGAGATTACTTTAGACAAAAGAACTGATCGGAATGCTTTTTTCTTATGTTAGTTCAAATCATTGCTGGCATAATCAAAAAACAAGACTGCTCGTATATTAGGGCAAAGCTCTGAATGATCCAACTATGCCACTTAAAACATATCCATTAGTTTTTTGGGGAAAAATGCTGAAAAAATATAAATTTTGGCTAATATCAAAGATCAAGTGTGACAATTTGAGTCGTACGAATTTAATACGATCAATTAGCTGTTGCCTCAATTCAATTGGAACGATTTTATTGAGCGCGATAATTTGACAGGCATAAATACTTCACGTTACACTTTCAACACTATGAACAAAATGTTCGAATCGCACATAAACTAGTCCAGAGCGTGGCCAAATTGGCAATTTTCAAAATCCCAGAATTTAGCAAAAAACGATTGGAGGTAAAATATCTTTATGCATTTGAGTTTAGCGAGTCGATGCTTTCAACGGGATATAAAAGGTTTTTGTTAAAAACTTTCATTTCGATCGCCGAAAGATGAATGAATAAAAAAATCACACCAAGCATAAATACTCCGTTTTCTTCGAAAGTTGGAACAACAAAAAAATAGATACAGAACAGGCAAACCGGAAACTATACGAACTCTCCTCATAACTAAATGCACTACAATATGCGTAGGAGAAAAAATTTGAAAATAAAGACCATAACATTACATTAGAGAACTTTTTAGAATAATGCAAGGCCAACAATATACACAATAAGTTCCAAATATTAAAAAAAAGACATCATTTCTGAAGGATTTAAAAAAGTCAATGTTAAGTGATGATTAAGTCTTTACTGGAAACTACTTTCTTACTTGAATACAAAACTATATAAATTTTTTCTCGAAAAAAGATGGATGCAACAAAATTGCTCTAACGGTTTCTCTTGTCAAGCTTTTTCAGGGATGAAAAAAACTCTTATCATCTGGCCAAACAAAAAAAGGCAACACTACATATAATTTCATATACCAAATATATCCGCCTGCCAAAATCTAACTTGTGCAATGGGTTTTACTCAGCACCAGAACAGTCATTGCGGTTGGAAATTAATTGGGAGAATGGATAAATAAAACAAGAAATTTTGCAATTTTAATTTTTAAATCAAGTTTCAGTTTCGAAACATTTCAATTATAAAAACTTTTTTCAGAATATGTGCTACTTTGTTCGGAATTTATTTTAGAACTTCTAGAAATTGTTTTAGAACAGTAAATCATAAAAACTGTATTCTGAGTTTGTATTTCTCCGGATCTGGCTTTCTGCGGCTCTTGTTATTTATTTTTTACCTTCCCCTATTAAAAAAAAAATCTGTTTGATTGATGTACTTGATCAAATGTTGATCCATAGACGGATTGGAGTTAGCAAGATTCAGAGAAAAAACAAAGTAGCACAAGTTCGCAATGTATGGGGTGATAATTAGAACAAACCATTTCTCCAAAACCTGTTTATTTTCTTCCGTTGATTTTTTTTGTATTTATGACGTTGAAAGGACTTTTTAAAGTTTTCTTATCCAGTGGCTGCCTTGAGTTGCTAATTGCTTACCGATTAATCTGTACTGCACTGAAAACTGTATGAGACATTTTCAAATTTTTTAAGCAGTAAGACGAGCTTTTTTCAAAGGCTCGAAATATAAAATTGCACGACAAGCAGTTTTCTCTGAAGGAGGTCAGCGCGTGTATTTTTTAGCTTTGGATTCATGTGAAAAACTGAAGAACAAAACTGTAACTAAAAAGGATTTTTTCCAAAACATCCAACGGGTAAAACAGAATGTTTTTAGGCTCTTACAAACAATTAAGCGCAATGAGGAAAAGATACAGCATCTGGAGGACGAACTCAGGGATAACGGAGACAATGACAAAAAACTTGAGGATGAGGTCCGCGAGCTCAAAAAACTGGTGGAGCAATTACGGTTAGTTTTGGCAGCTGTCCTAGCCTGGTCTGCTTACGTTCATCTCAATCCTCTGAAAGCCTTGTAAATTTGTGAAATTCTTTACAACCTACAAAAGTTAGTTTTAGTTCCAGAACCTCTGCTAAGCATGCACACAAAAAAGGAACGTGTGAACTACGCATCACCCCATTTTCAGGTCAATTAAAGTATTGAACAGCAAATCTTTATTTGTAAGATATTCAAAGTTTTTGTAGCAGCTCAAATAATTGATCAAAAGGCCTAATTTGATAGATCACCAAAGAATTCTGACAATTTTTTGTTTCCTAAACTCGCGTGAGAAAAAAACACACATCAGCCCAACGTGATCATTTTGATGGTCTCACAAAGTCGGAAACTCAGATATAGCTAGCTTCAATTTCTGCTTACCATTGGGTCTCCCTGCATAATGAGGTTTTTATTAATGTCTTTTACCTATTCTGCCCAAGCTTTGTTATTCAGCGGGGTAGGCAACAAAATATATGCCGTAGGCAACAAAATATTGACTGCACTTGATTGGTTCATAGAATTTCCTTCGTTTGAATAGTTGTAAGGGTAGTTTTTTTTCCGGGATGCAACTTTCTGGTTTTGTGATCCAAGCAAAACTTTACCGTTTGTTTGAAAAAAAAACATAATTGATGAAAAAAGATGTTATTTGGTCCATTCAACTTCATTATGTATCAACTTACAACTCAAATATCAGCAAAAATATTGCAAGCTGATGCAGGAACCTGACTGGGTAAATCTAACCAAGGACAAAAGAAAAAAAAAACATTTTCAGTTTCCTTACTCTGCGTTTGATTACAATATGCAAGAATCAATCAGTAAAAGAACAATGACATGTTTTATAAATATTTTGTCATCAACGTTCCGAAAGGGCAGGTTGCGGAAATTATCAAGAATGTCAATTTTCCGAAAGTTAAAGTATTTTTTGATTTGATTGGTTGAACAGTTCCAAGCGCTAAGGCATTGCTGCATGTGAAATGTTATATTGTCTGTCTTCGCTGGCTGCTTTGCTGCTTGAGTCGCCCATGTTTTGTAATAAGACAAAACTTTTGTAAAGAGAAGAATAAAAAGTTCTAAGTTGAGCTAGAATGAGTTACTTATACTCTAAATACCCTGCTACTTTTTCTGAAGATGATGAAACTTCAACTGACAAAAAATATTCACGCTTTCATTCTAACATTTTTTACGGCTCCTTGGACTTTCAGCTATTTAAAAAAAATTTAACAATTTTTCTGTGTTAAGAAACTATATCCTCTTTCAATTAAAATATACTGTCCCATTTCAAAGTCCGAATAATCTGCATGGGTGCATTTAAACCTGTTCAGTTTGATGGAAGGACCGAACGAGATATATTTTCTAACCAATAAGACTCGTTAGACGTTCCTATTTGCTAGTTTTTTTGCGCAAAACAGAAGTCAAAATAAGCAAAAAACATGAGATTCAGCAGTACAGCCAAGGTTTTGGTTCAATTCGTGCAGAAATGGGGAAAATTATTTTTTTTACAATTTTTTTTGTACATTTATTTGTGTAAATTTTTCGAGTGCGTTTGAGAACTGACATTTTATGTTTCTGTTATTTTGCAATCGGCCAATTTTTTGTTTTAAAGGTTTGGATTAATAAACCTCAGTTTTATGTTTCCGCGTTTCTTGCAAAATTTTTGAATACGCTGTTCTGATTAGCTGGAATTGTTTTTCATCATTTGGTCTCTCAATCATAAAAGAAACCACCGTCTGAAAATACCTTTTTTTCAATTTTTCTTTTCATTTTCAAATAAACAACTCCAATTGAACAAAATATTGGTTAAATTCAGTTTGGCTAAGAAAAAGCTGGCCGTCAAAACAGTTAAAGAAGAAATTAACATCAAATTAACCGCTTGTTTCAAACGAAATCTGTTCACATTAATCAGCAGTGAAATAAAAAGAACAGGTTTCTAAATACTTTATTTTTTAACATCAAAAGTTTAAAAACTAACACTCAGAGCCGACAACTTGAACCTCCTGTTTTTGTTTGAAGGCTTACTAAAAGTCAAAACTAAAAAACAAAACGGACACAAAAAGTTTGACAACAAACTTCGCTCCTAGAAAGTTAGTTGCCTCGTTTTTCTAAGAAGTTTCTATAATTTCAAAACTCGAAAGTTCGACAATTTCCAAAAAACTCGAATTTGATTGACGATCAAAGTGTTTGATGTAAAAGGGTTCATTTGTCAGCGTAAACGTTCAAAGTCAAAGTAAAACAAGTAACTTTTTAAATCCATAGTCAATATCAAGTTGATTAGATTAAACTTTAGTAATTTTCATGACGCAAACTTAATCTATAATTGATCAACTTCTGGTTAGGTCTCAAAAAAATTGAAAACTTAAACAATAATAGAACATGCCCAAAAAGCAACGAAAGTTTTAAAACGCGCTTGGCGTTAAAATGCATCTTTTTAAATACTGCATATGACAACAAACGACTGAAAACGCAAACGTTGTAGCACTGAAAGAAGGATTGTGACCTCATCAAGCATGAGGAATCAGTCAACTATTGCTTCTGCGAATTATGCAGTTTGAAATGCAAAATTCACGCTCAAGGCTCCTTACATATAATCAGAACTCATGAAGCCAGAAGAGAGTGGACAGTGACCGAGTCCGACTCTGAAAGCTCGAGCATCGGCTTTGACTATACAGAAAACATCGAACAAGGAGAAGAGAGTCAAAATTTTTAGGCGAAAGCTGCTTCATCAAACAGTCTACTTCAAATGAACTGAAACCAATTTGAAACACGTTATTTAATTTAAATTTTGTTTCCCAGTACAAAATTGATTACTAACCAATCATGGTCCATGACTATGTTTCTTTCGTTATTTCTAAACCTGAAAACCTAATGGTTCAGAGAATTAAAATCAAAAATTGAAATCAGTTGCTTTTTTATCTCCTCTAATTTGGCAATAAACCAGTTTATCTCTAGATCTATGGAAATTAGGAAATACAAGAGTACGGATAGGATTTGCAATAGACTAAGGGGTTGCACGAACCTATCCGGCCGGAAATAGATACCGTGACGAAGAGACGGTGCACCTTATCAAGATTAGGCTTTAGAAGGCCATACCCTGTCTAAACTCATCTGGCGCGAACAACGAGTCTCGAGCAGACCTCCAAAAAAAATAGTTTTATCAAGCATTATACAAATTAAGCGAAAAAGATAAAAATTAGCTGATTTCCACGTCTCAAAAAGCCTAGTAAAGTCAATACTCAAGATGAAACTTTGTCACATATTAACAAAAACAAACCTCGCAAATTGAGCACCGCAAAAATAAGCAGAAACGACGATTTCAGACCAAAAATTTATTTTTCCAGTAAAATTATATTTAACTGCGTCAAATTGAGTCGTAATTTTAAGAACAAAAAGCCTTATGAAATCGAGTAAAAAACTTTGTAAATAACGAAAGCATAAACAACAAAATCAAACAGACGCCCATTAAAATTCATTGGCTGAAAACTTTACGTCTGCAATACATTTTTCTTACAAAGATGAATTCAGTTTTATAAAATAATTACAAAACAAACAGAAAACTAATTTTAAAAAAAAATTTAAACTATTGTCATTATATATCAGCGTTCATTGATTTTTTGTCTTCTGATTCTTTCATCTACATTAAGTCAAGCCAGGTTTTTGAATATCCTTTTCCTATAAAATTTCTTTAATTTTAACGTTGTATTTCAAAAAAATTTTTAATCCAAATAACAAGATCATCAGGGGCTCTCCATGGATCTTCCAGTTCTTATGACTTTTTATTCGTTCCAATAGTAAGATCATCAAGACCTTTCCTTAGTTTTTCAATCTAAAGTTTAATTTCCTTTTCAAAACAAAGTTTTTCAAGCTTTCCTTGAATCTTTTTGTTTTAAAATTTTTCAAATCCATTCATCCCTCTAACTAAGTGCCTAACGACCCATTGTGTTGACTAAATTTTTAACCCTTCAAACAACTCAGGACTAACTGACAATTTTTTTTGAAACTCACCAATCAAATTGAGCTAAACAGTGAGAACTTCGATTACCCATTCTTTCTTTGATCCCTGCCTCTTGTTTGACCCAAGCTTAAAACAGTCCTTAAAATTAGAACGCTCTAAAATGTTATCTAATGATCTGCTCAAGTTCTAATTACACTTCAATCCTGAGGATTGATTTACTATTATCCAAATCTCGATCTCACTTCGATCCCCTTTTCAGTAAGATTAAAAAGACTAAAAAGCAGAAAACGTCACTCGTTTCAGAATGGTACAAGTAGTTCAATAGAAACGATCTACTCTCTACCCAACCAAACTTGACACGACAAACATCCAATTTTTTTTTACTTTGTTTATGTTTTTTCCAAAACACCATCTTCACAAATGATGTTTTTGCAATATTTTATAGTTACGTCTCCTTTTCAGACTCAGACGAAGCGTTATATGCATCACAACTACAAACCATACGATATGCAAATCCGACACCACGAAATTCGCTGTAGTAAAACTTGACCTCCAAAGAAATTTAATATGGTTCATACTCGCCTAAATTGAACATAAAATACATCTAGTAGAACTTTCTTGAAAATAATTTCGCACAAACTGTGCTGATGAAACATTTTAAGCAGATCAACCATAGAATGTTCGGGAACCTGAATGGTATCATGATACTTTTTAATGATATGCCAAACGCATTGTCAAGCTCAAGAATCAAAACATTCTCAGCTCATAGAGACTTTTTAAAAGTAATTGTATCATCATAACAGTTACAGAACAAATAAAATCAAGACAGAACAAATAAAATCAATTCGAACTCATCAATTCGAATTCTTGCTCGAATTCTTACACCAGTAATGCCAATCTGATTAAAACCCATTTTTTTAACAAAGTAAACATAATGGACAAAAAAAATCCAAACCTTTTCTTAAAAGATGAAAATTATTTCCGTCAAAATCAACAATTAACACTTTGTGCACATCCAAAATCATTG